ATCCTCGGTATCGGCACCGATACTAGTATCGGTATCGTGCATCCCTACTTAAAACCACATGAGCAAGTCATGCAACCTATTTCATAAGGCAAACAGCACAATGTACAATGCTGTAAGCCATAAGAACTCAGAATGTACCTTTCATTGACACCGATTATCTGAAGAAATCTGACGAATATCCATTTGTGCACCTTGCACTGCTTTACTAAAAATACCTCAGCATGGTATGTGGAGTCACACCCATGCTATTATTTAGTATCTAGTAGGAAGTAACCCCTAAAGAAGATCTGGCACATTTTAAATATCTCACCCATCAATCAGATGCAAGTTATGACACCTTCTAACTATAAAATAATTTAAGAGAGATCTTAAGGGTGTATTTCCACTTTCGCAGCCAAATTGGGATAACACCTACGTTATATTTGTTATATGTTCCCATTCACATCGCCTAAGCTAAAAATTTGCTTTTACATGGGTTAGGGTTTCAAGGCTTCTTAAGGTTTAAAATTGTTGTTTGCTTCTCCTTCTTTGTAATGCTAGGAGAGGTTGTGAGGGGTTTGTTCATTATAGTTTGTAAAGTAGATTTGAACTCTGCCTGTCCAAGCAAAGGGTTAAGGCTGGGTTCACACCTAGGCGTATCGAATATGCGCGTTTCTACCACGATTCGTGGTAAAAAAACGTGCGTTTCCGAGGGCTACCTGGCTGTATCCCAATGGATACGCGCAACAAAAACGCCCCAAAGAAGCTCCTGTACTTCTTTGGGCGTAGATCGTTTTGTAGCGTGTTCATACGGCCTGTAATACGCCCAGGTGTGAACCATACCCATAGGAAATAATGGGATTTCGGTGTTTGAGCATTTTGCAGAGCGTAGGAACGCGCTACCAAACGCCCAGGTGTGAACCGGGCCTAAAGGATCACAACCTCAAATTTCAGTCCTAAGTCTTTCTATACGGACAGCTCACTGTGAAGGAGCACAGCCATGTCGTCTGCTGCAACAAAACACCTAAAAGGTAAGAAATAGTTTGTAAAAATGATTTAAGAGGGGTTTTCTAAAATTTGACTGCAAAAGTGGAAATACACTTTAGGTTGACTGTATACTATTCAGTCTAGGGAAAAATAACCTGATGTCTTCATCAACAATAAAGAGCATAGAGGAATTTCCCCTGCCAGCTATTGTATTTTGACAGCCGGAGCCAAAGGGCAGAATACCCAGGTAATGACTCCAGCTTACTGACTGCAGTCACTTTTTTGCTGCCAATTTTTAGCTGTTCGACTCAACAAAAGTTGATTTTTCAATCAACTTTTGTCGAAGGAACTGTGCAGTGAGAACCATTTTACAGAGAGATTTAAGATTCCATCTATACAAAATGCAGGTTGTTCAACAGCTCAATGTGAGAGACTACGAGCAACAAAAAGCCATTGCTGTGCGAATGCACGTGATGTTGGTTCTCACTGATTCACGACTCAAACCTAACTCACTTGCATGTCTTCGAGCAGACCGTCCCGGGCTCCTAACCAGTGCCTCTCTCACCCGTGCAATGTTTTCCGGTGTCCTTGCAGTGCGGGCGGGGCCTGGTGGTTTTTTGTTCATAATGTTTCCGGTTGTTCTGTAATGTTCAAAAAACCTGAGGACCGTGTTGCGACTGGGAACGGCTCCATGTCAACCAACAGTGAACATTGATTCCAACATTGAATTCTTGACTAAATAGCCGCTGTGTTGCTGTGATAGACTCTCCACTTCGAACAAAGCTGTTGTAAGCAAACAATGTTGTAATGTCCACTGCTTCATTGTGACTGAATTGGCATTCCAATGGACGGGGGTCTAAGACACCTAGCTCGTCCCCCTCCCATCACCACTTACTGTGTACGTCCAACTCCGGTTGGTCATCTGGTATATTATACTTGAGTAAAGACTCGATGTTAATAACAAGCTCTGCTAAAAATCTTGCTGGGTGGATAAATGAAGAGTAATAGTAAGGGCTAAAATTCTCATGTTTACTGAAGAAATTGCTGATCACATAGCCGAATGCCTAGACATTCTGATATGCCTAGACTCTAGAGAGGTCAGAGCCAGCTGTCAATCAGCCAGCTGGGTAGATCTTGACAGCATTGTCAGGATCTGCCCCAGATGTGGCGCTCTCAGCATATAGCGGCCAATAGCCTGCTATATACCCAGTTTGGTTCACAGGAGGACATTTGTATATGTCCTCCCGTGACCCTAAAGAGAACTATGGAGAAAAAAAAAAGGTTACCCCATAGTTCTCTTTTAACACAGCAATAACATTTGATAAGTCCACATTAAACTTTAGGGGCCAGATTCCCAGCCTTTCGTTGGGACAATTTAAAAAAAAAATTATATAAAAAATTGAGGTTCAAAATAGACATTTAAATAAAACTATATTAATAACACTAATTAATACTCTTTACCCCAACCTGTCCGTCTAACACCCACTCTGACTGCCATTAGGCAATCCCTAAAGACTCGTCTCTTTAAGGAAGCCTATCCCACCTCAACCTAACCACTCAACTATCAGGTTCTCAAACAATTCATCCCCACACAGCTCCCTCCTCATGTATCACGTCCCCCTCCCTTTTAGATTGTAAGCCCTCAGGGGTAGGGTCCTCCTTACCATCTTGTCTTGAATTGTATTGTATTGTGATTGTAATGCCTTCCTTATATTGTAAAGCGCTGCACAAATTGTTGGCGCTATATAAATCCTGTATAATAATAACATAATCAAAATAAAGTATATAAGAAAATGTAATAACCTGCATCACTCTGAATGATTCACCAGATATTCCCAAATGTTACTTTTTACCTTTTTAAAAATGTAGAAACCTTTAGAAATGACTTACAAATCTCTATATCTGGGGATGTCTGTCCCCCACAAAACTAAGCTGAATAAATAAGACAGGGTGTGTATAAAAAGGTGTGTTGAAGGCACTGTAAGCCATCTAAGTGATTTCAGCCATTTAAAAGTCCGAGTCTTTCCTTCTTGTTGGTCGTGAAGGAGACATAATAATGTCATCGGAATCGTCAGATTGCACCTCTTCGATGGCTTGTCGCGTCCTCCCTGAAATGATGAAAAACTGGATTTAAACTACGGTAAAATACCTTTAAAGTGTATTTCTACTTTTGCAGCCAAATCGGGATAACACTTTCTTTATATTTGTTACATGCATACATTAAAAATTGATGCTTACATATGACTTCGCTCCGCTGGTCCCAGAGTCATCACATCCTACACACAGTGTAGAGGGCATGAGGATGTAGAGGGGCATAACATGGCTGCAGCAGAGTAGGAGACAGGCTGGAGGGAGTGCTGTAACAGCCAGAGATCTTGGAGGTTCGGGTGATTATAACGTATTTTTGACCCTAGGCAAAAACGAGCAGTTAACTCTCGCAGTGTGGGGGTACCCCTATTGCAAGGGTTAATACAATTGTTGTTGTTCTTTAAAGATCTAGAAGCATTGTATGTTAATGAGAGGAAACTTGGCAATGCCCCTAGACCTTTCTATGGGGACAGCCAGAGTTTCCTGTCACTTTGAACCTGTGCAGAAAAGCTTGCAATCTGTCCAAAGGCCGGCTACACAGAGAAAGAAGACAGGTAAGATATCATTTTTAAAATTGACTTTGGGTGTGCTGTGTGAATAGGAACACATAACAAACATATAGTGGGGATTGCTCATACAATATGTGACTGCAAAAGTGGAAATACTTTCTAAAATATAGCTTCACTTTCCCTAAAAGGCATTCCATTTTACACCAGAGGTCAGAGGTTAGGACTGGCTATAAAGCTTTATTACTGCTTGTTGAGAAAATGTAAGTACTTAAATGTCTATAGTCTGGGCACAGTTCTACTTTAAAGTGACACTAAACTCAAGAGTTAAATTTAAAAAATGCATTCAGGTACACCAAGCATGACCAAAAAATAGGATTTTGTACTCACCGTAAAATCCTTTTCTCTCCGTTCATTGAAGGACACAGGCAACAGATCGTAGATCCTGAATGGTAGGGTAATATCGCCACCTGCAGGAGAAGGACGCTAGGCACAAAACTAAAGACCAATTACAGCCTAGGGGCGGCCCCTGCCGGTGGCCAAACCCCCCACCTGCTGACAAGTCTCCAGTTTAGTAACAAGCAGTTAGGAGTGTACACCCCATAAAGAGGGCGGGGCCTGTGTCCTTCAATGAACGGAGAGAAAAGGATTTTACCAGTACCGCTGAGGAGACTCGCAAAAGGGTACATGAAGGTATGCATCCCGGATATCGATGGAGGCCAGCAGATCCCCCTGACGGAGCCATGCCACCACGGACCGGATGGACTCCATCCGGAACCGACGGACCCGCACGAAGGCGTTCAAGGTCCAGGATGGGCCGCACCCCCTCTTTCTTGGGCACAGTAAACAGGTTTGAATAAAACCCTTTGAAGCTTTCCGAGGAGAGAGCAGGCACAATCACCCCCTGGGACCAGGGTCTGCCACCGTGCGATGGGGATCCGCCAGCCGCGAAGGGGATAGTCGCGTGTTGGATGGGAAGAAACGGTTGCCCGGACGGGACAGAAACTCGATCTTGTAGCCCGAAGAAACCAGCCCCCGGACCCCAGAGTCGGAGACGTGGGACAGCCAAAAGTCCGCGAAGAGCCGAAGGCGGCCCCCCACCCCGGGACCCGGAAAAGTAGTCACCGCTCCAAGCTCACTCCCATGATGGACTACTATCTCATGTTTATTTTACTAATTTTTGTATTGTAATTGTAGTCCATGACGGGAGTGAGCTTGGATCGGTGACTACTCTACAACACACACAGGGACCATGGGGAACAAAAGTAGACACCCTCCAGAAGGAAGGACAGTGTCGGCACCAATTCAGAGATGGTTTGAGGCTCTACAGCCGAGTGATACACAAATAAGATACATTTGTACTAATAGTAAAGGCACTAGAATGCATTTTAAAGGTTTAACCCCTGAGTTTAGTGTCACTTTAAGTGCTGTGACAGCGTCTTATCTACCTGATTGCAGCTTTGATAAGGAACCACGAGACGGCGGTCTCTTAGCAGCTCTGTCATCTTCCTCTTCAGATGGCAGCTCCTCAATATAGTCCTCAATCACCTCTTCACTGCGGTCACTGTCTGTAATAAAGAGAAAAAAAAATAAGAATATCTTGTGTTTTCTCATGTAACATTAATATCTTAAACTCACACAGGGCAATTTTACAAAGTGGTAGATGACAGGTACTGCTTATAGATCCTTCTCCGTAGTATTAAAGCACATTCACTAACCCTATTGTTCGCCAGATCAAGCTTCATTTACAGCGGATTAGTGCACACCTGGATTTCCCATTCTTTAACTGGAAATCCAGAACATTTGATGTATTTATGATATATGTTCCAACCACAAGCCCCTATCTGTTTCTAGCCCTCCCCATTTGCAGACATTACTATGGAGGACCCACCATTCTCACTCCTGCTTGCTCAGCGTTGCACACAATCAATGCCAATATGTATTTTAGCCTAATATCTTCATTTGCCACAGATTGACATTATAACAAACATGAAACTGCAATGGGAATGCTCTAAATCAAAATTCCTGAAGGTAATACATTTCTCATACTCAGAGATACCTGTAATCATATATTCTATGTAAACAGATCAACTGCTCTCCTAGAGTCTAGCCACATATAGCTTTCCTTCCTAAGAACAACCTACCAGCAACAATTTAGATAGTTTCACGGTGTCAACAGAAACTGTTTCATTCTTCCATTTGGTCATTTTTGTTGAATGTGCCCAAACAATGCTGTGTGGGGTAGCAATAGCCTAAAGCTGGCAGTACTCCTTATAATCTGATTTTAGCAGAAGGAAGCTAGGTAAATGCTGCTGGTGCAAGCTATATTAATGTGTTGCTCCGCCCCAGGGGGCCAAAGCACAGGAACTCTTTAAGTTGAAATCTGCTTAGATGCAGTAGATACTAACTTCACACATGCCCTACTGCCAATGCACAGGGCCTACATGCAGCATCCTATCTTATCAGCACCTTATGTATTCCCCTGTGTGCTGCTTTTAATCAGTGAAACCGCACTACAGAGGAGATGAGGAACTATACCTTCTAGCAGGGCACTAAACCCTAAAGTAAGGTGGGAACTTTCAGTGGATTCTTTAGAGTTTTTGCTTGTGCCCTACCGCCAATGCACAGGACCTACACGCAGCACGTTATCTATTCCCTGGTGTGCTGCTAAGAATATGATATTGCCAGGAAAGTAGGAGACATAAACCATCAACATGTTACCTAGTAAATTTTGGGCATTTTGATTGGAAGGTTTCCTGGATACAGGAGATCTTGTGTTTTCTCTTGGAGATTTCCTGATTGGGCTTTCTTTCCTCATCGGGCTTTCTCTGCCTTTCAGTTCACTGGGTGTGAGACAAAGAAAAAGATATAGTTAGTTACGGTAATGGTTAGGGAAAAAAAAAGAAAAGCTTTTTCCATCATGTTTAATAGTAAAAAAAAAAATTGTATTTTATCCCTGCATCTGATGCCCAATTGAAAAGAAAATCCTCCATTAATCTTAAATGGCGAACATTTGTACAATGAGAGAAAATGGGACCTTAAAGTTCAGGGCCGTCCCTATACTGAGACAGCCTATTTGGATCACGTGAGGGGGCAGCAGGCAGAACGGCATGGCTGCTCTGCTGCACAATGTTTGCAATGTGACTGCTGCCCCCTTTATGGCAAAAAGCACCCCAGGTTGCCAAGAGCCAGGCAGGAAGATGTGTAAGGGCCGTACACATCTCCCCATCCAGCTCTTGGCAACCTGGGATGCTCTGGCCGGCATCCCGCCCAGCTCCTGGCAACCAGTGAAGTCAATGGGCAGGATGCTGGCCAGAGATGGGCAGGGAAATGAAGCAGAGGCCCCAGTAGTGTGCCCCGGCCCCTCAGTAGGGACGGCCCTGTTCAAGGTACTATATAAATTCAGACTACCTTTACAATTAACATCAATTTATTATAAATATTGTTAAAACAAATCATAAAGTGAAAGAATAAAATATACAGTACAATAAATATATAAAGCAAGAGTGGGTCTAATGGACCTCCTATATGCCACCTGTATTTTTCCCGCCTGGGATTCTTTATCCAAGTCTCCACAAACACACTTTAAAATGGTCTCAATCAATGACCCATAATCACCTGTGAGGGGCCTTATAGGAAAAGCTGTACTAAGAGAAGTATGCAGGTCTCTATGGCTGACCTCTCCTTTTTGAAAATTATAGTTGTCAGGCTTACCTCAATTCATTCAAAAAAAGGGGACTTGGAACTAAGCAGGAGTTCTGCCTTTACTCTGACGCTTTCTGCCGTGTGATAAAATCTGGGTCGGTGACTCAAAGCACTGAGGCTAGAGACGGCCAGGCAACTATTATAGTATAAGTACCGATTTCTTTTAAAGTGCCAGATAACGATAGTCAGCACGCAGGTTCAGATCCTCTAAATCCTTGGTTCTGAACTGCTGGGTCGTGACCCAAAAGCAGGTCGCGACCCCATGTTCAGATGATCCCCACATGCCTTACACTTTTATAGGCGAGAGGCTCCTCAGCCTCCCCCTAGCGCAGCACTATCAGTTTTCTCACCAGGCAGCCATTCAAAATATGCTGCCCGGTGCTGTGTGTCAGCTTGAGGTACAGTGGGCTAGGGATATGGCCATGAGGGAGCTCCATCCATAAGTGGATTTCTTAAAGTTTCCTCGTGTGTCCTGCAGAGGTGCCTGGACCGGAGTGATGTAACATTCTGGCTCCTGGCACCTCTACAGGGCATGCAAGGGAGCTGTACAAGCAGATGCACACATAGATGGAGCTCCATAACAGCACAGCAGCCCACACTGGAAGATAGGAAGACTGGGTGGATTTAAAAAAAAATCCTTTTTTTTTTGGGAGTCCGTATGTGTGTGTGTGTGTGTAAGAATGTTTGTTAGTGTGTGAGATTGTGTCTGTGGTTGTGTGTGTCTGTCGGTGTTTTTGAGGGCCCATGCACACTAGTACAGTGCGTTAATCGCACAGTCCCGTGCGATTACCGCATTGTACCATGCAATCTCACCTACCACACGTTCAGGTGTGAGAGGTGTATTGCATTGCCATTCATTTGAATGGCACCCCCCAATCCATCTCCCACCCCCAGTTTGATTGCTCACATCGGAACGCGCTGTACCACAATTCCATGTGTTCCATTGCAGTGCAACTTTGGTCATAACTTAATGACCAAGGGCAAATGTGGGTCCTAAGGTTACACAGATTGTCATTGCAAATGTTCCAACGTGTTTCAGCCAATATGGCCTTAATCACAGCTGCTACAATTAAGACCGCATAGGCTGAAACACGTTTGTATTACTAGTTTTACGCCCTGATTTAAAGATTTTGCAAAGGATCTGGAACTGTGTGCCAACTATCTTTATCTCGATATCATAGAGGGCTGGCAGAAACCTTTGTTCCATGGTGTTCCATATGCCACGGTGTCAACCGCTGCCCAGTCCTGCCTGCCAAAACCAGTCATCAGTCAAGAAATATGACCGATATAATAGAAAAAGGTCTATGCATAATGCTAGTCGTGCACAGAGCATAATTATATAAAGCGTGAAGTGATTTAGCCCATGTCATGTTTCATTCTTCTCTACCAGTGATACGCTGCATTTATTTTACACTGTCAGATGACGGATGCAAGACACGCAGAGTGGAGATGGAGAAGCAGTGATAATGAACAGATCCCATCCTGTGCTGACACAACGTGCACAGATGAACAGTGAATGGATAAAGAGCCCATTGTGTGTGCTCAGTTACGGGTAAGACATGTACCTTGATCTTTGGCCCAGCACTTTTGTGCGTGTCAGATGTGCTCTGAATGTGGACTGCAGTAGAGTCACATGATCCTCTTCTTCCTTGCTAGGGTCTTGTAAAAGTTTACTGTCAGATGCCGCGCTGTCCTGCAACAAAACCACAGACAGGGCCAGACTCTGTCAGTGCCGGGTAGTAGACTGAAAGGCTGGTAACAGAAACAACTTCTCGGATAACTTCAATAACGCCAATGACATTCTGTGAAGGGAGCTTATCGTGCAAATAATCCCCTCTGTGCTGCCAATTTAAAGCTGGACTCCAGGAATTGAAGAAGAACCCGGGGGAAAACTCGTATTAACCCTTGCAGTAAAGGTACGCCCAGACTGCAAGGGTTAACTTCTTGTTTTGGTCTAGGGAGAACAAAAAAAAGTCATACTCACCCGATCCTTGGAGCCATCTATCCAGGTGTTACACATTATAAAGCAATAACCTTGATACATTTCTATCTTTACCTGGCGGCTCAGACTATTTGTTCTTGGTGACTTTACACGAGGAGTTGAAGACAGGGGCGATACCATTGTCTGCCTGGCTAGGTGACCCCGCAAAGCTGCCTGGAGGAACACAGTCTCCTAATAAAGAAAGTTTAAAGCAACATAAGCAAGAGCACGACAAGCAAAAATCCTTCATGTTATCACACTGAGGGTTTAGAAACATTCATGTGTGCAAACAGTGGGAATTAATCCTTTTTAAAGCCCAACGCCAGCCAAAGAAAGTGTTTTTTTTTTTTCTAGTTGGAAGAGGAAGGATTCGAAAAGTTGGATTTATATCATTGTCTGGTTCCCCAATGAGTGGGGCCTTCACCTCCTGTCCAAATGGACAGACAGCAAGTGAGGGAAATCTCTCCAATGACAGCAATAAAGATCCCACAGAGATCCTAACCCTACCAAACGTATTACAGTGTTTTGCTGCTGTATGTGTCCTCGTTGGAAGATTCCCTTCAACGCTTGTTACTGGAAAAAGTAAAAAAGGAGATCCATCCCAATGGGGACACAGACAGCAAATGAAAATGTGATAGAGGTTCTAATTAGAGGACACTGAAATGAAATTTTTAAAACCGAAACAAAACTGAAAATAAAAAAAATGTCAGGTCAAATTTAGACAAATACATTTTATTTATTTTTTTATATTTTATTTATTTAT